GGGCTGCGCCACATAACTATCCTCAAGCTGCTAGGACTCGGGGAAGAGATCGGTGGTGTCTTAGAACTGTATCCCATCAATGGTGAGAAATGGTTTCCCAGTCTTTAATGACTGCTCATGAAGGGCACATACACAGCACTGTGTGTTTTTAAGGGGCAGCTGGGACCTTTGCTTGAAAGGGTGGTAAGAGGCACAGCTATGACTAGAATTAAAGCACATTTTCTAACTTTCATAACATTCCTGTTTAAGAGACGCTGCCAGGATAAAAATGATGGGCCTGAGCCTGAAAGGTGCAGCCAGGGCCATCCTTAAGGATACGCAGAATATGCAGCTGCGTAGGGCACCATGAAATTTGGGGCACCAAATTGCCCCAAATTTCATGGTGCCCTATGCAGCTGTGTGCTTCGATGTGGCAGCGCCGGCAGCCAGCCCCATCCCCCAGCTGGCCCCACTGTGGGTTCCTAGGGGGGTGCGGGGCCCAGGACAACTCCCTCTGCCCCTGCGCTGCCCCTACCCCAACCCTTCTCCCAAGCCCCCTTCCTCAGCGACGGACGCGGCCCAAGGGATTAGCGGGGGGACCTGGCGCTGGCAGCACGGGTCAGGCCTACCCCTGCATTCATCGGCAGTGGTGGGAAGCAGAGCGCCCCAGCCCGCTCCACTCCGCTGGCTCCCTGCTGTGTCACTCCGCTTCCTGCCACCGGTGAGTGCGCGGGGGGTGGAAGGGTGGACCCCTTCCCCCAAGCCTCTTCCCCCGAGCAACACAGCTGGGGCAGGGGGAGCAGAGCAGGCTGGGGATGGGTCGTTCCGCTTCCTGATGCTGGCACCAGGCCCCCCACTAATCCCCCGGGCCGCTCTGGGCCTGTGGGGGCCCCCAAAGCAGCCCCCACACCTCCTGCTTCCGCAGCCCCGCCGGCCTTGAGCGCAGCCTAGACCCTCTGCCCGGGAGGGGGGCGCTCGGGCTGTATAGGGACGGAGCTGGGTGCAGCATGTCTGTAGCTCCCACTGAAGTCAAAATAGAGTGGGTCAAATGCACTCTTCTCCTCGCCCCCTCCCGCGCCAAAGGGGTGTCCATACCATTACCTCCTATAAGGCTTAAGGAGAAGCTAATAAAGCACAGTCACAGCTACTTCTCATGTGTAGGCCTCTGGCTTCATTCAAGGTTCCTTTCATCATCAAGTCCTTGCTTCCTTCAGTGCCACAAGGCCCACACGGGGTTAGCCTTGCACTAGAGATCTCACTACCACAGCACATGTTGGAGGCAGGGAGCTTTTCAGCTACGTACCCCTATTAAATACATCCACCAAAGGAGAGGTGAAAACAGGGAGGAACCTCACCACCTTTGCTCTCTTTTGGGGTATATAACCACTGCCCCAAATTGCATGGAATATCAGACATGTGCGTGAGTGTGTGATTATATCGCCCTCTGTTGGCTACAGCCTGCAGAACAAATAAAACCCTACTGAAACAAATAAATTCTTCTTCTGCTCACATGACAGTGACCTGTGTTTTTGGAAACAAGGAGGTCCTGAAGTCAATCTCTGCTGAGGAGGGTTGTGAGATCCTTACATTGACCAGGATCTTTTACAGAGGGCAGTAAAATAGGAAGAAAAGGCCACAGGGCATACTTTCCAAATTATCATTTAGCTGGGCAACCAAAACACCAGCATTGTTCCTGATTCTGTCCTTTTCTAGGAAGCTCCAATGTGGAGCGAGAAGATGTCCCTGCTAACCTGGTGAAAGACATCCGCAATTATTTCCAAATCAGCCCTGAATATTTCTCCATGCTTCTGGTTGGGAAAGATGGAAACGTCAAATCCTGGTACCCTTCCCCAATGTGGTCCATGGTGATCGTGTATGATTTGATCGATTCCATGCAGCTTCGGCGACAGGAAATGGCAATTCAGCAATCACTTGGCATGCGATGCCCAGAAGATGAGTATGGTGGGTATGGTTACCATAGCTATCACCAGGGATACCAGGAAGGTTACCAAGATGACTACCGTCACCATGAAAGTTACCACCATGGATACCCGTACTAAAAAGAGCAACTTAACCTTTGACTGCTGTCTCTTGCCTGCATCCTAATAGCTGTTCAAACCGCAAGTGGCCAGACATGGAAATTCTTCTCAAGCCACCTAAATGCCCATGCCTCTTTCTTTCAGTATTCAGTCAAGGGCCTAAATAAACATTGTATTTGCCGTTTTGAAAATCCACAAGCCTTTAAGTGAAATATTTCAAACCAGTAGCACTGATGCTTTTAAGCAGTAAAGACTCCTTTATATTTTTTAACCCCTGTAATCAGAGGGCATCACCAGTTGCAGTTTGTTTGCATTAAACAAAAAACAAAATCTTTCCCCCGCCCTTTCAGCCACGGACCTCATACTGTAGCCAGGACACAAACTGTACAATAGACATTGTAACACTTTATATATTTTTTTCCAAGGAGAAAAACAAAGCATATTTATTGGAAAGTGAGAATTTTGTGTCATGCTGATGAACAGACACAGAGGATCACACCACAGGACTTTCCCGAGAAAGGAGATTTTAGGAAAGAAGTGTGAGGCAGGTTTGCTTTTATAATATTTTTTTTAAAAACCCTTTTGAAATGCCTTGTCTAAAAAGACTGCATCTCTTTTATAACAGATCAGCTTTGTACTTAGCTGAGTTTCATCCATAACCTACCAAAATGTAACCTTAAGGGTTGCTAAAGGATTTGATACAATACAGCAGAAAAAGCTCTGAACAAGAAATCTTGCTGCATGTCACTATTTCTTTAGCTGGGGTTCTTGCTCCATGAGATAATTAAATCCATCCTAGCTACAGCTCTGCTTAAGCCAGAGCTGTAAGCTAGCAGGGTTCGAATTCTAGGTGGTTGAAAAAAATTGAATTTTGGCAGAAAAGGAAGAAATTTCTCAAAAATATTTGTGAACATTTTTACTTGCTTTTCAACCAGCAATTTCTTACAACATTTTGGTGAAAATTCCATCTCCGGAGCCAGTTAGATATTTTTACAAAAATTTTCATCTTTCAAATTCCTTCTCCACCCTCCCGCACCCCTCCCAAAAGGACAATTATTTTTTACAAAAATGTTTATGAAAATGTGGACCTGCTTATTCAGCTAGCTCTGCTTCTGCTATGGTTTCTGTAACTAGCATGCTCACTGGGTTTTTTTTTTTTTTTGAGACCTGTACTAGTCACACTATGCCATAGGCAATAACTCCTGGGTACCAATCTTCTATCCTATTGTTTTGTAACATACAGTCTAAAAATATGAACTCCACCTACGGTGACCAGATGTCCCGATTTTATAGGGACAGTCCTGATTTGGGGGATTTTTTCTTATATAGGCTCCTATGACCCCCCACCCCCGTCCCAATTTTTTACCCTTGCTGCCTGGTCACCCTAACTCCACCCTAGTCAAGGAAACTGTGTTAGAATATAGGGGCTTGGAAAAATTAATTCCTAGAGAGCTCTAACCAACTCCCATTCAAATCAATGGGAAGGAGTCTATCTACTCTTTTAATGAGAGTTGAATCAGGCCTTTAACCCTTAAGGGCCCTACAGCAAGATTCAGGAATATCCCAATGAGAAGGCCTCATGCAAGATGTATCTGATTTAGTGGCTGCATAGCGGTCACTGCCATGATGGAAGGCACATCTAGGTGACCTTTAATCCTCACTGATTATACAGAAACTGGATATCGTGATACACATCCCACCCATTACCCTTAGGGATACATTTGGAAAAGGATTCTTATCAGTGGTCAGAGCCACAAGGTAGAAACAAGTGGGAGCCAAAGTACAACCCACAGTGTAACATTAAGCAAGTAGTTGGAAATCTTTGTCTCCCCAGATGAGAACAAACTTTGGTAAAACAAGGGCTTCACTGAAAACCAGGTGTTTTCCTTAGAAACCATCTCAAAAAGTCCAGCCTTGTATGCTAGTTCTGGATAGGGTGACCAGATGTCCCAATTTTATAGCGACAGTCCTGATATTCGGGGCTTTTTCTTATAAAGGTGCCTATTACCTCCCAGCCCCTGTACCGATTTTTCACACTTGCTATCTGGTCACCCCAGTTCTGGGTCATCCTGATAAGCACAGGAAGAGTGAAACATTGCCAGAAAGCCCAACTGGCTTCTGAAGCAGGCTTCCCTCAGCACCAGCATTCCCAGCCACCTTCTGGAGCAGGCTTTCCTCAGTGCCATGAGGCCTAGTCATCATGGGGCTAGTTTGACACTCACATCCAGATCCTCAAAGGTCTGTAGGTGCTTAATCCTGTTCAAATCAATGGGAGTTAAAGATATTTAGGCACCTGAGGATCTGGGTCTCACTGTCTAGGTAGGGAATGGTAATTGGGGCTTGCTGGTGAAGAGTGGCCCTGGAAGGAGCCATCTTGAAAAGACTGTTTACTTTGTAACTTCTATCTTTCAAGTTTGCTATTGCCTGCAGCAATTCAGCAGCTGAAGTGGAGGGGGAAAAGATTTTTTTTTTTAAAAGGCAAGAAGGAATGATAAAAAATAATGAGCCAGACTGAAGCACGTCTTAGAGGAAAGTCTATGATGTCCTATGGCTCAGTTTAAGAAAATAAGTACTGATTGCCTTAGTGCAAAACGGTCAGCTGCTTAATCGTCTTGGCCTAAGGCAGAAGCAGGGTAAGATACACCAGATGTTTCTCTAACACTTACGTCCTTTAGATGAAAGATGATGACATTTTAAGGAGATTTCTCAGTCATTTAAAACATTTCCCTGTCTTTGTATTTTTGCAATGACTCTAAGTGAATGCACAGTAAATCATGAGTTAGCAGGAAGGTCCAGTGTTGGGGTGGGGGAGAAGGTACTCAACGTGCCAAAACAAATGGAAAAGTTCGACCAAATAGGCAAGATCCTGAGAATTTAAAATTGTGTATGCACCAGATGCTGATCCTGTCACTCTATGGGTTTAGCACTGAAGTCAAGATAGGTATGTGGCTGTCAATATATAGAGATTGGTCCAAACAAAGTCTGCATCTGAATACCGGCAAGATTTAGGATTTTTCTTAACGTGGATCTAAATTTTGGTGCTGACTCCTATGTCTAAGAGACCAAACCTAACTTCCCTTTCTGAACAACTTGAAATGTTGAGGGATGAGGTTTCATATCCAGAGCAGGTCTGAATTTTGCAGCCCCTCTCACCTTATCAAGTCCCCTAGGCAGAAAACTTGGTTAACCTGGAGCTAAGGTTGAAATAATCTATCCCATAGTTAGCCAAAAAAACCCTTAAGAGAATATTGTACCTTTCTCAAATACCCCCCTCCCCCCCACACACAAACATTAGAAAGCTGGAAACTTCCAAATTAAGGTTCCACTTTACCAAAAACAAAAATAGCCCCAAACATTTGAAAGCATGTTGTTAGTCTCACAAACAACCTTAACGCTGCCATTCTCTAGCAGCACTCTGAGAACAAGCGGAAACAGAGACATGCTTAGCTATCCATCATGCAGGTATATTATGTTCATATTTCTATGCCTGTTAATGAAGCAATCCTTCATGGTAGATAGAGAACGATGTTTTGGAGTTTCTGAATGTTTACAGGAGTCCTAGGATTTTAGGTCATTTTTCCTATGGCTCTCTCCTATCACCAATGTTGTTGTGTTTGGATTCACAATACTGATGAAATTTACCGAAGGAAACACTATTTTCAATTTTTTTTTTTTAAAGAAAAAGAAACAAAAACCTCTCAACTTCAAAGCACTGCCTATGCAGCTATTTTTAGAGCACTAGCGCGAGTCTGAGGCTGTTGACCAGGGCTAGGATGCTCACTGCCACGGACCATGTAGATGTACCCCAAATAACACAGCTTGGAATGGTCTTCGGACATAATGCTCTCTGCCCAATTTATTTGTCAGAGGCCATGTGGCAGAAGTCAATGTTCTGCTCAGCCATTGCTCTCCTAAAGCACTCTGTCATTTGTGAGAGAAACACTGTGAAGGATGGTATTCACACCATCCTCGACAATGCTGCACATTTACTCACTGCAGTGTAAATGAAAATGTGTGCCCATTTCTGGGTGGGAGCCAATGTTCCTATTGCTGCACAGACGAGGTATGTCTCCCTCCCATTAGTAAGTTATCTACTTCTCTCTCCAATTCAAGAGAACCTCACTAAGGGCCCCATCCAGCTCTCTTGAAGTTAATGGAAAGACTTCCTCAAGAGTTGGATTTGGCCCTAATATCCCAAAGTCTGCCCCTCCTTGGAGAGTTGCAGACACATGGGTTGGTGTATCTCTACAGTTACATACCTGATGTCTCCATATGGTTAGACCTGGTGTAGATACATCAAGCATGGAAGCATCATTCAATTTTCTTACAGATTTTTCAACCAAGATTTTAGGATGTGGAAGGCCTCTCCATCTCGCCGGACTCTGCACTTCCTCCTCTGGCAGTGGCGGGGCCTGGGTTAAATCAGCCTCGCTTTAGACAGTGTTTGTCCTCCCGCTCCGTGTTCTCTTATTAGTCCTTTCAAAGTAGGCCTGAAGACAGGACCAAGGACGGTTCCTCCACCAAACAAAAAGGAACCAATTTACAAACACAAAGCAAAAGGGGAATACCTTTCCCATGCCCTCTTTGCTGGGGGAGGAGGGGGGGAGGGAGGTGTCCTGCTGTTGAGCCCAGGGCGTCAGTCCTTCCCCATAACAGGCAATCCAACTTGCAGGTTTCCCACGGTAGGGAGGAGAGCAGCCTCTCACCCTGGAGAAGCCTATCTCCCTGCTGCCATTAGCCCAGCAACAGCTTCTCTCTCCTCCCCCTCTCTAATCAGAGGAGGGGCTTTTCAAGGTCTCAGGCAGCCCTTAATTGGACTCAGGTGTCCCTAATGGACCTGAGGTAACCCCTTCGCAGTTTATAGGAAAAAAGGCTCACATACCTGCCTTCCATGACTCTCTTGCAGCTGCCCAGCTTAACTTTGTCACATGGGAAACTTGGAACAATAATACCTAGCTCTTATATAGCACTTTTCATCAGCAGATTTCAAGGTGCTTTACAAAGGTCAGTATCATTACCTTCACTTTACAGATGGCAAAACTGAGGCATAAGGAGGGGACACAACTTGCCCAAGGTCACCCAACAGGTCACTGGCAGAGCTGGGAATTGAATCCAGGTCTCCTGAGTGCCACTCCATCCTCTAGCCATTAGACTATACTGCCACCACTACACTAAGCACATTTTATAAAGTTCAGAAATGGCTTTTCTCCATCTCATTTGTCTTCAGACAGAAATCTCAGGAAGGGAGGCCGAAAGCGTGGTTTTGGAGACCGTCTGAACTGGTTTGATCTTCAATCTCTAGAGGTGTTGGGCTGATTTATATGCTCAGACTTTGCATGTGGGAAAACTCTCTGGAAAAGTTTATGTAAAAGCTGTCACTCTCCTTTAAATGAAATATAATCTAAAGCTAATGGTTCCATATGTTGTTCTTGGAAGTATCATTCTAAGGTTGACAGCTATCATGTTTGCAAAAGACAGGAAATTCAGGCACATACTGTATACTGCAAAGATGCATGTAATGGAAAGCAATGAAATGTGTCTTAAAGCAACTGAAATTTTAACAGTTAAGGTGTTTTGTGCATTAATGGTTTCCCTTCCCAAAACAGGCCATCGCCCATCAATGAAAATATGCATCTGGAAACAGCATTTAAACGTGTTTTCCTGTTACATTCTGTACAGGTTAAAGCAGGCAGGATTCTCTCTTTGTTAACGAGCTACCGTAAGAGTATAGAAAATATGAGTCTGGTTGTGAAGTTTCACATCTAAGTGTCACTTAGAAAGTAATGGCTAATAAATAAATCACAACCATGATTTGTGAGTTTTTGTCTGACTCTTTAAAATACACTAGAGAAAGGGCACTGCTCCCCTCAGGAGGAACATTTTTAAAAGCGAGGAACTAGAATACTACTTTTACATGCACACTGCTTTTCATCCAAGTGTCTCAAAATGCTTTAACAACTATTAAGACCTAGATACCTAGACAGTAGCCTGGACTGTACACCCATATAATATGGAAGTAAGAGAAAGAGGTAAGTCGCCATCCTCCTGATGCCCCTGCATGGGCAATCCAGACCATGGGTCCAAGGATGCCGAGACAAGGGGTGCACCGTGCTACACACCTACTTACTCTCTCCCAGAGCAGCAATCTGGAGTCCGACTCCACCCTCAACGTACTGGCCAAAAGAGCTGAGCCAGCACAGCGTGGAGGGTAGCAACTTGCACTAGCAGCAAATTATTCTCCACCACAGGAGGGGGTGAATAGGGAAGGAACAGTGGCTCCTTGACACACAATTCCTTTCCTAGGATGGCTCATCAACATGCCAAGAGACCCAATTTAATCCTAATTAAGCCTCAAAACATCCCTGTGCAATAAGCACGGGAGAGCTAAGGAGCACCTCATCCACAGCTGGGGTGGACCACTGTAGCTGATTAGCTGCACTACACAGCTGTAGAGGGCGGGAAGCATATCCACTGAAATCGAAAGGGGGGGGTGGGGGGAAAATCAAACCTTATTCTGAGAAGTGTAATAAGAAAACTAACATGATGACCAACCTGAGAGATATCCATTGAAGCCTTCAGAAACCTGCACGTTGACATTAGCTTAGGGGTGTGGTTAGGGGATCTTGGCCATTTGTAATAGGTTCCTCACCCAAATTGTGGTTTGATGATTCATACCTTTAACAACTGTAACCCCTTCTCTGGCTTTCCAAAAAGCTGCTCTGAATCTCTCATTCATCCTATAACAGTGTTGCACCCACCTCTTGCGAGCACCCCCTGGCCGAGTATGTGTTTGTGGTGGGTCTTCGCTGACTCAGCCCTCCGGCCAAGTCAGACACCGTCTGTCTCAGGGCCTTGTACTGGTGGAGTCCCAGCAGCCAGCCCAGAGCACCATCCACTCCCCTCCCGCTCTAGCAAGAAACCGAACTCGCTCTGGCCCTGCACCTCTTCGTATACTAGCCTGCTGGGCCTGACTGGCTGCTTCCCACACAGCCACTCTAGGCAGCTTGGAGGACGTCTCTACTGCCCTTTTCTGGGGCGGGGTGTGGCAGGAACACTAGGCCTCCAGCAGGGGGCCTCAGGGCCTAGCCCACACTATCTCACACCCTCAGATCCCTCCAAGCACTTTCTTGTTTTGCATACAAAGAGTTTAAATAGACAGACTTACCTAAGATGGCTCATGTCTGGGAGGGTGCTATGGTCACGTAAAAGAACCTGGATAGAAAATAGAATCAGTGAGTCCAAGTAAACCACCTTTGACTTGATATTGGATGTGCAGGCCTCTCAAGTGCCGCTGTCTTCATCTTCAAGGCTCTTCATTACTGTATCCCATCTATCAATCTGCAACCATTTATCAATACCACATGGTTGTAATGCTCTTTATATAGTATGGGCTGGAATAAAGCACCACAACGGGGCCCTAACCCTGAATTGCTCCCAGCTTTAGCTGTTTAAAATCAAGCATTTTAACTCTGAGGTGAATTAGACATGCAATTCAGGAGCTGACTGCTGTAGCAGTTGGAGGGGAAACATCAAGTGCAACTTGACAGGTATTGGCACAACTGGAGGTTGGATATCACACTTGATGGACCAATTAACTGATCAAGCGTGGCAGAGAGTGTACATTAATAAGCCGTAGAACACATTGCCTCGTGAATTTTGGAGCACAAGTTCAAAGGCAGGATTTCCTTCAGCCCACTGAGAAACTCTGCAGCAGCACACGTGGGGACCCAGAGCCAGCTGCCTGCACTGGGAGCTGCAGTTTCCCTGTAAAGCCTGTTTGCATTGCTCTGAATTTCTAGCTTGAAAATGGAGAGGTGCATCTGGAAACCTGTTTTGGAGTTGTGAAGTAGTGTGCGGCTGGGGGTCCCAGGTGTGTGTTGTGTACTGGGCTCAGCCCCAGCTGTGAATTGCGGTGGCTGTCTCATCAGGAGTTTGGGGTGTGTTAAGCAAAGTTGAAGTGGGTGGGCTGTCAGTCTAACTTCAGAAAAGAGAAGGGGTGTGGTATTTAGAGGATGCTGTCAACTCAAATTTGGCCCAGAGTTTAGTCTCTGTGAAAACTAAGTTCCTTCAACACCCAAGAATAGTATAAATCAGTGATACTCAGACCTCAGTGGTTCAGGAGCCAAATTAGCCATCAACATTACCCAAAAGAGTCACAGTAGTGTGACTTCATTGTTTCCATTTACTGTAGTATTATTCATATTTAAACACAAGGGACTTTTTTTTTAATACATATATAAAAAATTTAAAAAAACAAAACTTATCACAGTAGATAAGTTAATACCTTAGTGCAAGTTGATAACATAATTGGTCAATAATGAAAGCATCCCGATTGGTTAAAAATTAAATCACATAGTGCAGGGATCGGCAACCTTTGGCAGGCGGCCCGTCAGGGAAATCCGCTGGCGGGCTGGGACTGTTTGTTTACCTGCAGCATCTGTGGGTTTGGCCGATTGCAGCTCCCACTGGCTGCGGTTCGCCGTTCCAGGCCAATGGGGGCTGTGGGAAGCAGCGTGGGCCGAGGGATGTTCTGGCCGCCGCTTCCCACAGCCTCCATTGGCTTGGAATGGTGAACCGCGGCCAGTGGGAGCTGCGATTGGTCAAACCAGCAGACGCTGCAGGTAAACAAACAGTCCTGGCCCACCAGCGGATTTCCCTGATGGGCCGCGTGCCAAAGGTTGCTGATCCCTGATATAGTGTTTTAATATCATGTTCTGCAAAGAGCTGCTGCTGCACACTCTGGCATAGCTTAACAATGGAGCATGGATCATTAAATAACCCTTTAAGAAATAGTTTTGTGAGGAATTATCCAATGGTTGTTTCCATTATGAAAGATACTTCCTAGAAGGAAAAAAATTATAGCTTCTTTTCCCTACTAGTTTGACTACATTTCTTCTAATTTTTTTCCTCTTCTTTCAAGTTTACCTGAACTATATGGACCCCATTTCCCATCCCCAGATGTTCTTCTAGCAGCATTTCATCACCCAGCAGCCACTTTCAACTCACTTTACCCAGCATCTTGCATAATTATATATACCAGTGCACAGTAGGTATAAAATGCTACCAGTGTAGAGAAACCCTACATAGCTAAGAGATTATACTTAAATTGCTTACCTTACAGAAACAACCAAATGTCATTATGTACTGCACCCTCTTTCATATGCTGCAACTGTCAAATGTTCTAGGGTTGTTGAGAATACACTGTGTTGCTGTTTTTATTTAATAGCTCTAGTGGCAATGGAGAGAAAAGGAATATTGTATCTCTAGTTTGCTGCCCCCTCTATGAAACCATGAATACACCACATACCAGAAATAACTTATGATGCAATCATTTCATAATGAACTTTAGTTTATTCAGGCTTGTGTCACAATTAGGCATAATAAATTACATGTAAAACACCACCTATTTACAAAGCGGTCATATACCATAGGCACCAGTACATATGAAAGCAGCAGAGTCTCACACAGAATGCAATACAAGGGTGAGTTGCTGAAATCAACAGGCCTTATTCTGTTCTCAGTTATACCAGCATACATAAGGAGGAATTCTACACAAGCCAATAGTTATCCTGGCATAAAACTGGGGTAAAGTCAGAATCTGGACCACGGTCAAACCACACATTCAAGAGCTGCACCTGTAATAGGGAATACATCCCTAACCCAAATGGTATGTTTGAGAGGACACTGTCAGGTTAAAAAAAAAAAAATGATGAGCCAAATTCAAAGGGGCTCTCTGATTAAGCTGGGTTTACAGGTGCTTTGTATGGCCAGTGTCAAAAAGCAGCTGAAACATATGAATGAATCTGGCCTTATATTTAAAAACCAAAACACAAGTGTTCTTATCTTCTTAGTAACAGCTTAGATTACTGAAACACATTGAAGTGTTTGTATAGTTTTTTACTGTTCAAAGTGCTGCACAAACATTCAATAATTAATCCTCAGAACACACTTGTGAGGTAGGTAACAGTATTATCTCTATATTACAAATGGGGAAACTCATTCAGGAAGCTGAAATGGCTGAGGCAAGGTGGCTAACTGAAGCAGTGGAAGAAATTAGACTCGGGAGTTGCTGAGACCGCCAGACCATGCTGCATGGAATAAAACAGATCATTTTTCAAAACTGAACAGACTTTGGATTGGAAGGGAACTCGATAGGTCATCTAGTCCAGCCCCTACACTGAGACATGACTATGTATTATCTAGACCAGTGGTCTCCAAAGTGGGGTCCGCAAGAAGATCCTTGGGGGTGCGCGGCAGGAGGAGCCTTTTTTTTTTTTTTTTGCTTCGTCAGTTCAGGTGGGAGTCCGAGTGGCTTTTTCAGGGGGTGTGTGGTCAAATTTTTTTTACTGATAGGGGTGCGCGATCAAAAAAGTTTGGAGACCACTGATCTAGACCACCCCACACACTAGCGCAGTTTTGTAGCATCTGGGCTGCAAACAATGCAGAAAAATGTTGGTCTAAACAGAACCCATTAATCTGATTTTTTAATACTACAGAAATATTTTAGGGGTTTTTTTTTTAAGCTTGCTTTTACAAAAACCTAAATTTGGGGTCAAGTTTATCTTTTTAGATTTAAAACACTGTATTTACAGATATGGTGAAATGCACTTACAGTGAATTTGGACATAAGGTAACTACTTTTATAGTATCAGGGGGTTAGCCGTGTTAGTCTGAATCTGTAAAAAGCAACAGAGGGTCCTGTGGCACCTTTGA